GAACACATCCAAGAAGGGTGCAGTGCACTTAGAACAGAATTGGGGATTATGCCTTGGTTCTCATTATATACACTGGTCAGCCACAACAGGTGAATTGAATAGCATTGATTATATTATTTCAATGGTATTTGTCAAGGGGTGGGATATATGAAGCAGCAAGTGAACAGTCAGTTCTTTAATGAGTTGAAAGCAGGAAATATGGGCAAGTGAAGACCCGAGTGACTTTGACAAGGGTCAAATAGTGATGGCTAGACAACTGGGTCAGAGCATCTCCAAAATGGAAAGTATTGTGGGTGTGCAGTGGTTAATACCTACCGAAAGTGCAAGGAAAGACAACCAGCAAATCGGCGTCAAGATCATGAGTGCTCAAGGCTCGTTGATGCATGTGGGGAGTGAAGGTTAGCTTGTCTGGCCCAATCACAGAGAAGAGTTACTGTAGTTCAGATTGCTGAAAAACCTAATGCTGGCCATGATAGAAAGGTTATCAGAACACATAGTGCATGTGTATGGGGCTGCATAGCCACAGGCTGGTCAGTGTGCCCATGATGACCTATGTCCACTGTCAAAAGCACCCACAATGGGGATGTGCACATCCGAACTAGATGATGGAGCAATGGAAAGTCTCCTGGTTTGATGAATCACATTTTCTTTGAGATCAGGTGAATAGCTGGGTTCATGTGTATCATTTATCTGGGAAGAGACAGTAGCAGGATCCACTATGGGAAGAAGGCTGGCCAGTAGAAGCAGCATTATGCTCTGGGCAATGTTCTGCTGTAAACCTGGTATTCATGTGGATGTTCCTTCAACACATACCACCTACCTAGAGATTGTTGCAGACTACTCGTACATAATCCTGGTGGCAGTGGCCTCTTTCAGGAGGATATTGCACCCTGCTACACTGCAAAAGTGGCTCAGGAATGGTTTGAGGAACATGACAAAGAGTTCAAGATGTTGCCTTGGTCTCCAAATTCTCCAGATCTCAATCCAGTTGAGCATCTACGGGATATGCTGGAATATCAAATCTGAACCATGGGGCGCCCCACCACCTCACAGCAATGAAAGGACCTACTGCTAATGTCTTTGTGCCAGATACAACAAGACACATTCAGTCGTCTTGTTGAATCCATGCCTTGATGCATCAAAGCTGTTTTGGCAGCACAAGGAAGAGCTACACAATATTTAGGTAAATATACTGTAGTTTTAATATTGTGGCTGATCAGTGTAGGTGTGACTCATTATATGAGGAGTTAAAGGTGTCCCTATTGGATTTAAACTGTAAGGTCACATTGCCAATTGAAACAGCATGCAACAAGAAAGTGGCATTTTTCTTGCCCTTTTTCTTGTCACACTCAACCTCTTTTGTTATATTTCCTATATTTGTGTAACTAAAATACCCATATGTTAGGTTAATGCCTAACGCAAATCCACATTGCAGCTACAGGAGGGATCTCATCTACTGCTCTCCCTGCTACTGTCTCTCCCTGCTAGGCTAAGGCTTGCATGAGAAGTGTGTGATCAGGGATGTGACCTGCTTGCTTGTACATAATGTCCTTTCACATGGCAATGAAGTATTCTGAACACACTTGTTTTTTCCTCACGAAAGCAAAGATGGAAGGTGGAGGACTAACAAAGAAGCTGAACACAAAAATTCCTAGAAGGGCAGTTTACTAGCAATGCTGCACCAAAGCAAAAACACATCTGGTGAAGTTCCCCACTTTGAGGGTGTTTACATGACTGCTTTCAATTAATCAGTCGCACCAATTAATCAGTTGCATTACTTTATTCTTCTATGATAAAGAGCTGAGAAACAGCTAAATAACAAACCCTCATTTCTACTTTTTCTCTGCTGTTCATGACTTCCCCGATTCATCTGCCTACCTATAATGGCTTGTTTCTGCTTCCACACTCAGTTTGTTTATGGAACTAAATTCATAAGGCCTGAATAGTGAATGACTTCAAAATTTATTCTCTCCATTTGTCCACTTTCTGAGTACAGTGATGCCTCGCATTACTTTAATTCGTTCCAGCGAAATCACTGTAGAACGAAAACGTCGTAATGTGAAATAAAAAAGCCCACAGAAACACATTAAAACCCGACAAATGCATTCCTATGGGCCTGAAACTCACTGTCCAGTGAAGATCCTCCATAGCACTTGGTGGACCTGCTGCTCTCATAAGAGCTGGGCTTTGCTCTTCCTTTCATGCCCTGATTTTGCAAAGTCTATAGGCGGATGGCTTTCACCCGTCAGAATCACCCCTTTGATTGACTGATTGATTGACTTCAGTCAAAGAACCCGCCTTGGGTTCTTTTTAAGAAGAAAGGCGGGATAGGAATATTTTAAACCAATAAATGAATAAATTCATTCCAATCCCAAAATTTCTCCCCCAAAGAAACCTAACCTCTAGTGGGAGCTGAATGTGGGGACTATAGAAAAGCTGGAACAGAACAAAATGGAGATTTCTTAGTAAAAGATGATGCCTAAAACAGAGGGATGTGCCAGACACACATCCAAACAATAATTTAGATCTTAAACCAAATGAACATTGCTTTTTCTGTAACACAAAACCTGCACAATGACCTGGAAAGGCCACCTCCGACTATGATAACCCAACCAAATTCACAATGCGCATTGGGCTGTATAAGACAGATGCAGAAAAGTGCAAATCATCTGCAGAAACAACAGTTCTGGCAGCCATTCCAGGCAGAAAGTCAATATTGTGGAAAACAGCCTGGAAGAGAGACCTCCGAGTCGGACAGCCCAACTTAAGTTTATTTTAGTTTATTTATTTATTTTATTTATATCCCGCCTATCTGTTCGGTTAAGACCACTCTAGGTGGCTTACAGCAAAAAACACACAGAAATATATATATAAAAACAGTTTCTACATAGTATTGATACATAGCATTACATACAAGTCTCTGTATACATCTTTAGACATACTGCAAAAAGGGTGGGTAGCAATAAATGAGCACATTATCTTACATGTTATTAATTATTCTCAAAGGAGAAACTGTCCCATGTCTCCCACCATCCTGAATTTTTGTGCCCCCTGTCCCATGTCTTTAAACTGAACTCATCTCATTTTTTCCTCCCCTACAATGTCGTACTATACATTTTGCACCACTGACTATGGGCACATGGCATTTCCTTCTCTGTGCAAACTTCTAACATAGCAGAGTAATATACAATGCAGCAATGTTATACCATGCATTGTCATCGAGTCATCACAGGGGAGAGGAAAAAACATGTGGGCCTCCTGTGTATCTCATATGTACCATGCAAATTGCAGATTAAAGATTTTCATGTATTTAGCGAAGACATTGAAATAACTGGTTTTAGGAATGGGAATCCATTCTGACTTAATGTCCAAGAACGACAATTTTTACAGTAAAATAACATGGTATAGATATTGTCATTTTAAACAGAGATTAGAGAATTTACTGTCTGACACATTCATTTGTCCATATCTACCAAGCATGATACCTCTGAAAATGCCCATATTGCACAAGCCTAGGGATCGAATAATTTATTTAAACTGTCATAGGTTCTCATTGCCTTCACTTCCACAGGTCCAAATAAAACATATATTCATACTTTAGCTGGTTGCAAAGTATTAGGGAGCACTCCGCCAGGGATTCGGGCCACAATGATGAACACTTCTTCCACGTCTCAACGGAAGATCAGCTAGACGACTGAACTGCCCCTCTGTTTTCAACTGGCTCATCTGAAATCTGTTCATTTGCCATTCTTCACAGTACTCACCTGGATGCCTGCTTTTTTCAAGAAATAATAACATCAGTATTGTTTCTCAAAACTGTTGATAAACATCCAGGTACCTACTAAAAACCACAAATATCTCTCCTTATACTGCACTATTTAAAAGGTTTATATGCATCTAAATTCCAGTGCAATACAAGATCACCTTCCAGGCTAGTTGTGAAGCCCAAGTCACTTTACAATGAATAGTAAAAACCTACACCAGCATTTAATTGTCACTGACATTGATCCCAGGAGTTAAGAGTAATTTTATTATGCATCACACCAATCATTTAATAAACAATGTACTACATTTTGTTCCTCCAGACAGGATCCAGAGTTAAGTACTATCCTCAACTCTAGGTTTAAGGGAGAATTAATTTACCCCTCCATACTGGCCACTTAAAGCACTAACAGCCTTAAGAGGGCAAAGCTAAAAAGGGGACAGGATGTCAAACACAGTTCCATCTATCTTTGTGTGCTATATCTTATTGCTAGCACAAGCCAAAGTTGATCCACTGAATGAGAAGGACCAGCAACTCACACACTCCTTTCATTCAACAGATTGATCTACTCTAGAAGATTCAACTATCAAAAGATTTAGCCCTTTGACTCAAAGCCCTGCCATTTGTAATTCATCATCCAGATATAATGCTAAGTGAAGACATTAAGCTTTCATACCACATGAAACATAATTTCTCAAGAGTAAAATCCCTTAAAATCATGTAATACATAATTACTTATATGGCTTGATAACAGATAATGGGCTACTCATGCCACTAGAATCCTTGATAAGGTCCTGGGCTGTGTTCTCATACTTCATTAGTCTGCCCACATTATAGTTATAAACTTTTTAAACAGAGACAACATTCTTCCTAAGCCATCCAACAGTGAGTCTAGCACTGGCAAAAAGTGCTAGACAAAAAGGAGGCACTGATGCATTAATTACAAAGCACCCACTTTAAGCAGCGGTATTTCACACAGCAATCACGCAAAGTGCTGCTTCATAGACTGGATGGCCTAAATTTTGCTATGAAAAGATATAATGGGGCAAAGCCACAAGGAATTTGAGTTTAACGTACTTTTGCTGGATGCAAAAAGGTTTCATTACCATATCAAGTCTGCTATAATCTTTAGTGTTGTCTTAGACTCACAGACCCAGCTTTAAATCTCTCCTTGTGAGTCAGGAAACCTACTGGTGCTATCAGGCCTATCACTATTTCTCAGCCTTCTATCAGAGGGCAATTATGAAGAGAAAATGATCATGCACAAAGCATTCAGCTTCTTAGAGGAAAATCCTGATATTTGGCCCTAGTGCTTTGGATATAACTGAGAAGTGTGGAACGCAGCACAACAAATACCTGCCCTTAAAAACAGTTCTTGAGGTGCCTGATGACCAGGACATGTTCTGAAATTTGAGTACAGATGGAAGGCTTATACAGTGTTCTAAAGGAAGCAGTAACATATATTCTTACCAAGGATATCCATTCATTCAGTTATTGTTTCCAGGCCATTCAGCTGCAGAGTGGAAGACTATGCTTACCAGCTGACAACCAACTTCTTGCACCTGCACTATTACCAGAATAAAAGGGAGAAAAAACCTCTTAATAGTTAATCATTCTTTTTACCTCTGTTATCCTTAGGAACACACCTTGGCAAGAAATACAATTAAAAATCTAATACACCCAACCTTTTGCCTTACTAAGGGACAAACTCTAACAAGTTTGCCCTAGTATGTATCAATGGGGCATAATTCCGAAGAACTAAATGTTTAAAATGCAGCATCATACTTTTAGCAAATTCCAGTTTAACAATGTAACAAGCAGGCTGTTTTTAAAAAAAATAGTGAAAGGGCCTAATGGAAGTACGTATATATATCAGTTTTCCAGTTTCTTTTTTGCAACATATAGGCTACAAAATGTTTCAACAGGAAAATATGCTAGGTTACATTTAGGGAAATACTGTAGCATTCACACCAACAGACTATGTCAGTCTGCAGTTTTCTCAACCAGCCCTTTTACCTTCAAGACCAATTTTAAGGTAAAGTTTAAGAGCTTGTTATTCCAACCATCTCCTCCCCAGTCAAATAAAATATATCTTAAATGACTGGGGTTGGGGGGATTGACATTTTATCTCCGGAATTTTATGCTGGTATGCATCTGCAAAGGTCACGAGTTACCATAAGTATCTCCCCTGCTCGTGTGAGGGAGGACGTGTGCCCGGGCTATAGGTCTGAAACACCCATTAGCCCTAGCCACATCACAGCCAATGGTGAAGAAGGGAGAGAGTTACAGTCCAAAACCTTTTAGGTGAGGTGACCCATGGCTGCAGTGCATGCTTAAAGATGACTTTGTGTATGTCAGCCCAACACGGATGGGTCAGTTTCGTTCTGCTTTGTGGTTTTTAACATCCACCTTGAAGGGGGTGTACCTTCTGACAAAACTAGCGAAGAACGTAATACCGACACGACATACACCCCACTGGCTATTGTGACGCAGTCCCTACCATTCAGCTCCCAGCAGGACCACAATAAACTTTTACTTTACATTTATTGAATTTATACCCCGCCCCTCTAGACAAAGTCTACTCGGGGCGGCTTACATGAGTAATAAAAGAGGATAAAATAGCATGCATAATAAAAACTAATAACATGTGTTTATATACATATACATATTATGAAGATGACATGAGTAACAAAACAGGATAAAATAACATGCATAACAAAAACTAACAACAAGTGTTTATATACATATATATATTATCAAGATGGGAATAATTAAGAAACAGCAGCAGAAAATAAGTTAATTGACTGGAGGGAAGGCCTGCCTAAAGAGCCAAGTTTTTAAATGGCTTTTAAAAACTGCTCGATCACACCCGAAAACTGTTTCTCACGACAGGATCCGAAAGCAGAGAGTTTATCAGCCCTGCCCCAGGTTTGAGTGAGAGGCATCCTCTACCCCCCTGTGTTAACTGTTCTAAAGCACAGGCGGCTTTAGCAGCGCAACGTGAAGGGGATGAGAAACAAAGCCTACGGAAACGACACGTGTTTCCGCTCCCGAGGGCAGCACACCGTGTCAGAAGTAACACGGGAATCGACTCCGTCCCCGTATCGCCTCCTCACGCCCAGCGAGATCGGTTCCGTTCACAAGCCTTCTGCACGTGGTTATTTCCCCTCCCCCAATTCTCCCTCCCGTTCCCGCAAAATGGTCTCGTCCGTCCTCGGCTAGGCCCAAGAGCACCCGTCCACCTTCACTTACCAGTTATCAAATGGGAAAGGAAGGAAGAGCCCCTCTGGTGACTTTTTATAGCGAGAACGCCGGGTCCCGCGAGAATTGGCCGCAGCCGGCGTGTGTGCATGCGCGCGTAACCCGGGTTGATTAAAAAAAAAAAACCCTAATCGGGAGGCGGGGAGAGAATAGTCTCTGCAGTTAGTTTCTGGGGCGGGCGGCGATTATTCCCCCCCCCACCTCTCTATGCGATTGATTTCTTTTTGTACCACCCCATAGTAAACGCAAGGGTAGACGGTAATTCCCTTTCCGATGCATCTGTTAGGGAGATTTTAATGAAAACTCTTACTACTGTGCAGATCTTTATCGCTTCTTTGTCAAAGCCGAGCGACTGTTTTCAACAAATTGTTATGCAGGGGTCGCCGCGTTGGCCTTAATGCAGATTCCAAAAACCACGTTGTAGTATCTTTATTTATTTAATTAATTTATATGCTGCCCACACTACCCAAAGGTCTTTAAATCGGAAAACCAATTCCGTATGGAAAGAGGCCGATCACAACCGTCCTGCCATGCGCTGCACTGTTAATCTATGCCCAAGGTAGCAGATGAGGAGGTACAGTTACTTTGCCATATGAAACATTGTGTGGTGCCTTTAAACCAGCATGTGTCTTTGGTTAAGTTTTTGTGGTTGTATCGCCATAGCATGACCTATGGTTGTAGTGCCCAGACGGACATGCTAAATAATAGTTTGCTGATTTTAAGGTGCTGCGAGACATCTTGTTACATACAGACACAGACAGGCGTTATTTTAAACTGTGATCAGTACAGTTTACATGGAGATTTTAACCCATGGGATTAACAGGAGACTATTCCTTGATGTTACTTTGTAACCAGTCACCCACATCTGGCTGCTGTTACAGTTGTAGGCATGTCAGTTCCCCTGCCCTTTAGTCCTGACTAGTAATTTGTTCCATGGGAGAAGGTAAACATGGTGGTCCACTTTGAGGGCTGGGGATGCTCTTGGTTGGGCAGTGCCTTTGTTAGAGTCAATCTAGGTGACACAAAACTATGAAAGCTCTGTCGTTCTCTAGAGCTCTTTTATTATGTAAGGCGGTTAAACACATGTTTAAATTGTTGGACATTTCATTGCCTGCACCTGCCCTACAAATAAAGGGAAAGTGTTGTGTCTGTTTGTGTGAATACATGCAAGGAATGGATCAAGGAAAAAAACTTTAAAAATCCAAAAAACATCTAGATACTTGCAGCCTTGAGATTGCAGGTGGGAGATGGAGACAGCAGGCCCAGAAGTATGTCAGATTATATTTAACAATATAGTGTCATGGAGCTAGAAGTTGACCTCCATTCCTAAAAACATAAAGGCTGGCTGCAATTCAGAGATTTTTCCATTGCTTTGGACTGGATAGCTCAATGGTTTAGAAGTTGGGAGTTTGATTCCCCACTGTGCTTCCTGGGAGTAGCCAGCCTGTGTAGCCTTGGGCCAGCTGCACAATTCCAGGGTGTCCCCAGAACTTGAACTCCAGAACCCCCAATAACTTGAAAAACTATAGACCGAAAGCATGGAGAACATAGCAGTCTCCATATAGAAAAAGGCTGAATATTAAGTGCTGGATGTTTTTCACTAGGTAAAAAATAACCTAAGGGAAAACGTTGAGTAGCTGGATGTAATGGAAAATTCAAATAGTAGAAACTCTACTTCCATATGTGGTTAAAATAAAGAACATGGAATTTCAAATCATGAATCAGTGGGACAAGAGGAGCTTGACCCTTTCTATGCATATCATTTTTGTGCTCTTGTCTATAGATTTTTGGAGCTGGGTTTTTGTTTTTTGTTGTTGGTCCAATGGGGTTCAGATATATATTCACACAGGTAAATGCACCTCTAGAAAGTATTACCTACCTCAGGCAGGGAAGTCCTTGGTGGAAGACCAGGAAAAGGGGGACCAGTGTCATGCAACAACACAATGTTATTGAAGCCAAAACATACACGCTAGTGGCTTGCCATTCTAAAGTGGTTCACCATTCTCTTATTCTTAGGACCCTGGGGCAGTGCAATTAGCCCAAGGCTAGAAAGGCTGGTTGTTCTTCTGGGACACATAATAGAGAATCAAACTCCCAGCCTTTGCCTGATTCACTGAACTATATACTTAAAAATTCCTGAAAAGGTTCACTGTAAGTCAGAATTGATTTGATGGCACATAATTATTAGAAGATCAAAGAGCAGCTACCTGAGAGCAATTTTAAGCAGAAAAGTGGCTGCCAAAGAAAGGATTATATACCTCCCACTACTTTTCAACTCAAAACTACTGCTTTTTCAAGGAGAATTTTTCCAAGGGACAGCTGTGTTAGGGCTCGATCCCTACTGACACCCCCCTTTTATATCCAATTGAGCTGAAAACAACCTGATTTAGATTTTAGCATATACACGAGACACATGCGCACACGGACTACAGTGCCAGGGAAGTGAGTTTTTCTGCTCCTCTGGCAGAGGTCTGTTTATTTTGAGGTCCATGTGGGATTGATTCCGCATGTGTGTATGCCTGTGCTTTTTAAAAATCTTCCTGTCTGGTAAAGCATTGCACCCACGCAGTGCAGTATAGTGATGATGCTAATGTCTCTTACAGAATTGCTATATAGCAGCCCTCCTAATTTTGTGATCCATCATGCTCAACACAACAAATGTCCAAACGGACATGTTAATCTGGTACAGTAGACTTCCTGGTTTTGCTGCCTGCCAAGAATTGCAATAAAGATTGAGTGGTCAGGAATATAAGACATAAGACATAAGAAATTTATTTGTCATTGCGCTCACAAGTGGGTGCAACGAAATGAGGTGCTCTTCCCCAAGGTAAAACTGGACAACACTACAAAAAAAAGTTAAAATATACACAACTTTCACCATTTCAGCAATTAAAATTCCACCAAAAACCTATGGCCCCGCATTTAAACTCAATACTGCACTTGGGTAAAAACTGTTCTTGAATCTGCTTGTCCTTGCTTTCAATACCCTGAATCTCCTTCCTGATGGTAATAATTTAAAGAGCTGATGTCCCGGATGAGAGGAGTCTTTCAGTATGTTAGATATCTTCCTCTTACATCTGTTCTTATACATGTTCTTAGGCATGGTATATAGCTAATAAGCTATGTTTGGCTTGGTGGGTTCACAATCCTACTCTAAGCACCTTTACAATAAGGTATGTGAGATACTGTATTTTTAAACATTCAGAAGAAGGATACTTAGTAAGTATTGCTACTAAAGTAGCTATAAATTAAAACCAACAGGAGTGGGATCTATAGTTGCTACTCAAAAATGACTTTATTATTAGTACAAGTGTGGGTTTTAAAACACTAAGCAAAAAAATAGCACATCTTCTGCTTCCAGCCCACACACTGTCACAGCCACTCACTATTTGATTTCCACATTGTATATGGGATGTAATTAACACTTCTGGGTTGTAATAGACAAATACTGGTGGTGGATGAGCACACAGAAGCAAAATGTACATTACAAAGACCGAAGTGCCATTTTGCATTTCAGTGACCAAAGTTCAATAATATCTTCTGTTCTCTTTGTTCCGTAAAAGCCATTTTTGAACTTTCATTATGCACTCCAGGGGTGCTTGGACATTTTGATGGTAATGTTGAATGTGACATAATTGTAGGCTGAAGAGTGCTATTGCAATGCTTGCTTTACTTTTCAATGTGAAAGAAAAAGAAAGAAAGAAAGAAAGAAAGAAAGAAAGAAAGAAAGAAAGAAAGAAAGAAAGAAAGAAAGAAAGAAAGAAAGAAAGAAAGAAAGAAAGAAACCAGCCCAATATTCCTGCTAAACGTCATTTAGAAATGTCACTGTCTCATTTTTCTCTAAAATCATGCTGCTTCTTCCTACTTCTGTGCATTCTCTCTTCGTCTGGATCCATGTCACTCTTGCCAAGTTCTGAACAGATAACATATTCCATGAGCTGGCATTGCATGTGTGTGTGCGTTTGTGTGTATTTGGAGTTGATGAAACATTGCCTGGATACTGTGACTATTTAAAAGGAATCAGCAGCATTAGGACAGGTGTTTTGCCAGCAGCCAAACACGTGTTGATTCCAGAGTATTGCCACTAATATCTGTGGAATTATGATCATCAGAAAAGTCCTGCTTGGTCAGCTCATGTGTCACATTTTCAGCAGTGTCCATCCAGATCAGGGAAAGGTTGGAGGCATGTGGCAGTTCAGTACTCCCCAGTACTTGTCTTCAGCATTTGGGGTAGAATTTTGTATGCTGTTTGGGAACATTTTCCTCAGATCACATGATGAATAGTTGTTGACAGTTTATCTGCCATGCATTTGTTCAAGTCTCCCCCTCCCCACTGCTTGAAGTCTTTTTCTTTTCTGGTTAATTCCATGTGGGGAGGAGAAATCATATACATGTGAAAACCGGAAATATCATATGTAGCAGTTCTCTCCATTTGAACAACTCCTAGGCTAGTGTAATTCATGGGGTTCTTTTCACTGAAAGGGTTGTCCAGTGATAAGTTCACAGCTGCAACTTTATTTATATTTTTCTATCACAGAAGGCTGGGAACATTTTTAACTAATTAAGAGGTATAGTAAAGATAAATATTATGTACACATAAAGAGCCAAGCTTCCCAGGCCAAGGCAGGCTCATGGTGACACCCTTTACAAAAGCACTGATTTGCAACTTCTTGAAATGTAATTAGGAGGCAAGGTGGAAACAATGACTACATTAAAATAATTGTACACCTTGCAGCATTTATGGTGAACTGGCCTCACAGAAAAAGCTGCTGTAAAATTTATAGATGTAAATGAATACCCATACCTTGCCATCAGCATGACGTGCTGAACTGCTGTAGATATCTAGGAAGGGCTTTTTCCAGCTGAAAAATATGGACATTGACAGCAGCAGCAAGAACAACGAAACTCCTTGAAATTTCCCTTTCACCCTGAAAAAAACCACCTTGTTTTAATCCCATTATAGTCTACTCTTGTGTGGCCAAAGTGGAATCCTCTTGATGTTCATGGACTGCAGCTCCCAGTTCTCTTCACCACTGGAGTTGATGTGGTCCATGGAACATGCACTTTACCCACCATTACTTATAGGTTGTCAGCT